TTAAAAAAAATATATATATGCTTGATATTAAAATAAACCTTTATTCGAAATTCATTCAAATTTAATTAATTATACAGTTAAACAATTATACCCGAAACAAAAGTATATTTACTTAAAAAATTTATTTCTACATTAAAAATATAAAAATAATTGTTTTGAAATGAATATTTTAAGTGAAACTTCTCAAAAAAAGAAAAAAAAAAACATAAAAATGGCTTACCTCCACCATTCTGTTGGCACAGATAAGGAAACCTCCAAATATTTCCAAGCCCGACACTATAACCAATGATGCTAAGAAAGAATTGCATTTTTCCACTCCATGCTGCTCTGTTATCTTCCGGTCTTGGTTCCGGGTTGACATTAGTTGCATTTTGATTTCCGGAAACGACAATGGTAACATTGTGAGGTGGTTGTTGACGATCATCGTTTAGAGGAGCCAGCTCGTGACCGTTCCTCGTGCTTTCAGATTTCACCACCATTCTTCTTTCCTTTTTTTTATTTTCTTTCTTCTTCTTCTTCTTCTTCTTCTTCTTCTTCTTCTTTTTACAATCTTCTTTATTTATAACTTTTTAAATAAAAAGTTATCTTTCTGTTTTTATTTTTTTATATTTTTTTTTTATTTTTTATATTCTAAGTTTAATTTCAAGGAACTTTCCATTCAGATTTTTTCGATAATTTTTGGTTTGGTTTTTTTTTTTTTATGAGCAACACCGTAAAAATTGTTTAAAACAAACAAATATTATTCTTCATATAAATATATTTATATATTTGTTTAAGAAGACCAGATCCTTCAGAGGAGTGTAGGTGGATGGGTTGGTGTGTTTTTTCTTTTATAATAATTATAACAACAATTGCAGATAACAATAACAATATTTAACAAACTTTCCTTTTTTCTCTTTCTTCTTCTTTTTCTTCTTTTCTTTGTTCTCACTTTTTTTTCAGTATAGATTATTATTTATTAATAATAATATTTAATTGTTATTTATCGTAGAAACGTATTACGACAAATATATGGAAAGTTTGTGATACGATTTATGGGAAGCATTATCATTGTTATTAATTATAATAATTCATTTCAATAAATAAAATCAAATGAATGAATTCATCAAATTCATCATTTTTTAATCATTCGTACAACTTTCGTTGTTGAAATGAAATAAATGGTTGTTTGTAAACGTTGAAGGATAAAATGTGTTTGAGGAAAAGGATACTGTGGTTGTAACTTTAATTAGAAAATTTCTAGAAGAAAGGATAAAAAGATAAAGAGGATACAAAAGATAAAAAATAAAACCAGAAAGAATATCAAATAATATTCTTAGTTTTAAACGAAGTTGTCACCAAAAAAACAAAAAAAAACAAAAACAATTGTCTTTTAAATCAATTCAAAATTAATAGCACAATTTTCTTTCCTTTGTTCCCACACTTTTTGATTAAAAGAATTCTTTAAATATTATGGGAAATTTCGTCTTTTTCGTTAGGATTAAAAGAACATAAAGTTTAGTAAAATATATCGATTAATTGTCACACGCGCACACAATGATATACACACGTATAAATATACACACTTATATGCACATACACATATACATATATATATATACACAAGAGAGAGAGAAATTGAATACAATGATGTTTTGATCGCAAAAAAAAAGAGGGGTATAAATTTCAGATAAATAAAATCAACTTGTATCTTTCTATCTTGTTGAAGTATCTTCCTTCAAGATTGTTATTATCAATCTGAATATTTCTTCCTGTATCTTTCTCACTCTCTTTTATACTTGATAAGATCTTTCTTTGGTGTTATATATATATAGTATGTCACAAACGTATCAACTCAGGTCCTCTCATTCATTATTCATTCATTAAAATACAACACGTTTTATTATTTATCCTTTTTAACTTGAATCAATTGAATTTTTTTACTAATCCTTTTCCTTTTTCTCTCTCTCTCTCTCTCTCTCTCTTTCTCTTGATGTGTGTTTAAGTTACTTAAACTTGATACTTTTCAAATTACGATACGAACAATCGTCAATTTGATAGCGTGCTGTAATTCGCACTAACGTAGAACCCATGTATACTGTTTAACACCAACCCTTTTTAATTATAAATAATTTATAATTATTTAATTAATCAACACCCCTTATTGGTTGTTCAAAAAACAATCCCCCTCCTTCTCTATTTTTCTTATTTTTCAAAATTAATCTTCCTCCTCTTCTTCTTCTTCTTCTTCTTCTTCTTTCAAAATTGTCACCTTTGTTTGGATAATAACATGAACAGTAGATAAAATTCGAAATGGGGATTGAAATTGGTGGATATATAAGAAAAATAATCACACAATAATAATAATAATAATAATAATAATAATAAATGAAGTATAGATCACTAACGATTAAGGTGTACCTTGACGTTAGTTCGAGGTAAAATGTGTGAGCTCGACGAACGACGATATTGGACTGAGCCTTGAGGGGGAACCATCAAGTAAGTTGTGTAGGTTTATATATATGTATATGTGTATATGTGTGTCTGTATTTGTGTCTGTATTTGTGTCTGTATGTGTGTTGGTTGCTCTTGTGCTTCGACAGTGATGCTCGTGCGCGAAACCTTCTCTCACTCTCTTACTCTCACTCTCTCTCTCTCTTTTTGCGAGGGAGAGGTGGTGGGCAAAACACCAATGGTTTTCCTTCTTTCACCTACCATACTCAACCTAGGAACCCTTCTATCTTTCTCTTTCTATATATATATGAATATACATATGTGTATGTGTAATATACACATACTAACATATTTTCATACTTTCATACTACTATCCTTTTCTTATTTCTCTTTCTCTTCTTCTATTTTTAAGAACCTCCATCTTTCTCTTTCTATTTTATTTTAATATATATATATATATACACACACATATATGTACACTCACATATCGTACACTATCATACATTCATACTTTCATACTACTATCCTTTTCTTATTTATTCTCTTCTTATTCTCATCTTTTCCTTTTCTCTTTCTGTTCTTCTATTTTTGAGAACCCATATCTTTCTCTTTCAATCTTTATTTTCATATATACACTTACTCACTTATACTTATACATACACACATACTATCATACATTCATACTTTCATACTGCTATCCTTTTCTTATTTCTCTTTCTCTATCTCTTTCTCTTTCTGTTCTTTTCCTTTTTTTCTTTCATTCATATACGTACACTAGTGTAATTTTGATTCTATCCAACACTATGATTTGTTCAACTAATTATATATGTACTTAAAACCCTTTTTTTTATTTTTTTTTTTAGTTTGGGTTTTTTTATTTGGCCTATTCTTCTATTCTTTTACCTATTCTTCCCCGCTCTCTTCCATTACTTTCTATTCAATTCTATTTTTTTTTCTTTTTTTTTCTGTTCTGTTAGTGGATGGGAAGGGGTAGCATTGGGTAGGGTGGGGGGTTGTTTGATCGTACAGGATTTAACCGGATTTTTAAACTGGGTTTTGTAATCTCGATTAGTTTTTGTGTGTGTGTGTGTGGAATTATTCCTTTTCTTTTTCTTTTGATCAATCAAAATTGATTTTTTTTTATAGAACTAAATCTGATAAATAAATATTTAAGATATGTTTGTTATATTTCTGTATTTGTCTTTTTTTATATTATTATTTATATTTTAGAGATAATTATTTAATTTAAGAGGTTTGAGTATTTAAAATGATTTAAAATTATTAAAATTATTTAAAACAATTACTATTTTAATTAAAACTAACCTAAAAAAAAAGAATTGGAGGGAAAATGAAACAAGATTAGAAAATTAGACAAATTTTCATTTCTTTTATGATATTTTACGTTTTATTTTTGTTTAAGGAATATAAAGTATGTAACAAATTATTAAAAATTGTTTAAAACAACTACTTTCGATTGAAACTAACCTAAAAAAAAGAATTGGAGGGAAAATGAAACAAGATTAGAAAATTATTAAAATTTTCATTTCTTTTATGATATTTTACGTTTTATCTTTGTTTAAGGAATGTAAAGTATCTAACAAATTATTAAAAATTGTTTAAAACAATCACGTTCGATTGAAACTAACCTAAAAAAAAAGAATTGGAGGGAAAATGATGAAACAAAATTAGCAAATTAGACAAATTTTCATTTCTTTAATGATATCTACGTTTTATTTTTGTTTAAAAATGTAAAGAATATAAAAAATTATTAAAAATTGTTTAAAATAATCACTATTGATTGAAACTAACCTAAGAAATAGAATGGTGGGGGGTAAATGTTGAAACAAAATTAGCAAATTAGACAAATTTTCATTTCTTTAATGATATCTACGTTTTATTTTTGTTTAAGAATGTAAAGAATATAAAAAATTATTAAAACTTGTTTAAAATAATCACTATTGATTGAAACTAACCTAAGAAATAGAATGGTGGGGGGTAAATGTTGAAACAAAATTAGCAAATTAGACAAATTTTCATTTCTTTAATGATATTTACATTTTATTTTTATTTAAGAATGTAGTGAGACTGTAATATTATTAAAAATTGTTTAAAACAATTAATATTGACTGAAACTAACCTAAAAAAAAGGAATGAAGGGGGAGAAATGAAAGAAAATTCTAAAATTATATAAATTTACATTACACTTTATGATATTTACGTTTCATTTTATCTTCAAAATAATTTGTGTAATACTTTATATATTTGTTTCTATTTTACTTGCAAATGTTAAAAGAAATCTTTTGGGGTTGTATAATATTGGTATTGAAGGAAGGTTTTGTGTGCGCGTGTGCTTCCATCTTCTTCCTTGTTGTACCGACTGGTTCGTCTGGGTATCGATCGTTAAAACATTTCTACCTACACAAACCTTTCTCTATTCTAACCATCTTTACTCCTTTTACTAACATTAATCATTTTGAAGAATTTATTTTCCCTTTTATTTATATTTTATTTACTTTATTTACAATTATTGTTGCAATTTTATGCATGGCAAAATTTGTTGTTTTTTTTTTTTATTCACCTATTTTTCTTCTTTTTATTTGTTTTTCATAATGTAAAGGGATGACATATTTCCTTTATATATTTATTTTATTTATATTATTTATTTTATTTATTTTATTTGAAATTATTGTTAGTACATTGCACATTTTCTTTTATTTATTCAGCTATTTGTCTTCTTCTTTCATTTTCTTTTATTTTTCCATTTCTTTTTGTTTTTTATTTGTTATTTTTCATAATATAAAAAGGGGAAGAGATATATTGAACGATGATGAGGGTGGAAAAGATTGAGAAAGAAAAATGCATAATGCAATATTACGTATACACAATAAAAGTGCATTTACGTAGGTGGGAATATATCGATTCGGTTGTTAGATTTTCTTATTAGTTTGGTGTTTTGTAATATTTTGTGATTTTTCCTTTTTTTTTTTTTTTATAATAACGACAATGACGTGGATCAAATAATTTCTTATTATATTCTTTTTATTTTTTATATAGAAATTTATAAAAGTAACAAATTAAATGCAATTCCTTTACTTCATTTAAAGAAAGATTTTATGAACAAAACTTCATGAAATAATCAAATAAAAAGTGTGCAGTGTGCAGTATGCAGTGTTGACAATATTTCAAGTGCATATAAAACATTTAGATAACATGTTTTTAAAATGATTTGCAAATTAATTTCAAAATAAAACAATTATTGTTAACTTTGTAATAATAAATATGTTGATTGGCTTTTATTTTACTTTTTAACAAACAAAAATTGCATAAAGAAGAAAAAGAAAAGAAATGGAAGTATAAGCGGATAGAAAAGTAGGATTAGAAGAATGCATAATGCATAATGCAATATTTGAAATGTACATATATATATATAAAAAAAAATAAAAAAAATAAAACAATCGTACGTCTACGTAACGAAATAATGTCGATTAGGTTTGGGTTCTTTTTTTATTATTCGATTAAATAAATCATGTAACGTCCCTCGTAAGAATTTTTTCTTCTTCTTCTTCTTCTTCCTCGTATCGCCAACGCGGAAATGCATCGCGTGTTTGAAGATTTTCAATTGAAAGGTTTTAAATAGTAAAATAGTGTAGGTTGTGTGCATCTCACTTGTATCCAGTGTGAACCAAATTGATTCGTTCTCGTATTATATGGGTCAGGAGAACACGATTGCTGCACCCAACTTAACCCCCCCCCCGCCTCCTTTCTTCACATTTTTACGATGATGATACTTCAAACGTTTTACAAAATTTTTCCCCTAACTAGGGGGTTAACCTTCACCACAACCCCTGTCATCTAATTCAAAAAATTGTTAACACGAGACTTGACGAATGAATTGCATTATTAATTGTGTTATTTAAAATTTTAATTATTTTTTGTTATCCTTAACAATATTAATATTTATATTTATACTGTAAAAAAATATAAAAAAAAAAAAAATACTTTTCCAAATTTTACGAAATAAATAATAGTAGGAAATAATTGTATTAAATGTTACGAGAAGAATTAGTTTATTTTATTTATTTATTTGTTTTTTTTTTTAAGATGTTAGTGGAATATTCAATATTACAGATAAATAAAATAATTCAAAATATGTATATAAAAAAAATTAGAATAAAAATTTACTATAAATAAATCCAATTGAATCAAATATTTGAATTAAGTTTGAAAATAACTAAAATGTTTTGTTTAAATATTACACGAAGAATTATTTTATTTTATTTATTTATTTTTATTTAAGATATTAGATGGAATATTTAATATTGCAGATAAATAAAATAATTAAATTAATGTACAATAAAAAAATTAGAATAAACATTAATTTTGAATAAACCCAATTGAATCAAATATTTGAATTAAGTTTGAAAATAACTAAAATGTTTTGTTTAAATATTACAC